TATATATATATATATTTACAAGTATGTAGATGTTTAACAACCTGTTAACATACATCAAAATGCTGGAAATTGCATCTACTTTATTCTTAATTTTCTGGGGGAGGACCCCCACAAACACCACCTCACCCCCACTGTTTGCGTTCGGGCATCAATTGGTTTACAAATTAATCAGTTAAGCCCTGATACTTGGTATGACTTCAGCTGTTATAATATTGTTCAGTTTTATGTAAAGAGTTTTCTGTAATTATTTGAAGAAGTGTAAAACATTAAGTGAACAGGTAAAGTTTAAAGTGTTTCTTGATGCTGTTAATTTTCTCAAAACTGCAATTTTTGGAAGCTGAAATTAAAAACTGTTAATTAAGTGTGTCATGAATAAAAAAAATGTCCCATATTTAAAAGTATAAAAATTGTATTAACACTATTAAAGAACAGGGCTCAAGTATTTATGTTACACACATATTCCCAATGCATTAAAGAGACAAAGCAAAGACAGTTATCTAATAAATTTGAGGGTTATGAGGGGGTCCCTGAAACTTTTTCTCCCCTGTAAGAGGTCCCTGAACTCAAAAAGTTTTAGAACTGCTGCTCTAAGGGTTGAAACCTCAGGGTTAAACAGATGAGGGTTCAACTTTCTGTCAGTAATATAAGCTTTCTATTCGCCACAGCTAAACTGGATTATGATTATTAAATAGCTGTGTTTTCCCTTAAGTGAGGCAATCAGTGACTACTTACACTGGAACCATTATGTTGAATCTGAGGTTTAAGATCTGTATCTTTTGTTTCAGTTGTAGTACAATGCAGTGTAAACAAAATATCATGCTGCTGCTGGATTATTCCAGTTTACACTAAATACTGCAGCTCCAGCTTGCTGTTATTTAGCTGCCATGTAACTAAACGCAAAACACATGTAAACCATGTGTCGAGTAATCTCAAACATGATCTATGTTAGAGATTTACATTTGCTTTTGTCACAAATCCCAACAACAAGTTTAAACCTTGTGAGCTCACCCACTTCTTGGCAAGGCTGCCCAGTCAAATAGATGACATTTTTGTTTTCTTTCCTAATTAATTCAAAGATAAAGAAAGAAAGACAGTTCTTGGCTGCCAATTAAAAAACAAATTAAAATGTTGAAGTAAACGTTGTTACATTTTATTGCAACAGACACATTTTTATTGTTTTTGTGGGTCAAAACCTGATTAGTTTCGGAACCACCATTGTGCACTAAAGGGTCAACAACAAAGGTTAGATGGTTTCAGTTTCCATTTATCTTACACATTTTGACAAATGGCTCACCCACTTTCAGGCAAGCTCACCTGTAAACTCAGTTCTAGCTGCATTTTTGCTATAGGATTTAAATAGAATCATTGATAAACATCTACTTGGAAAAACTAATAACCTCTTGTTATGTTGATTTCCATACAGAATAAATTAACTTTGCTGCCTTCACTTCCACATGGGAATATTTAAAACCCAACTTCTAATTACATACAGGTTGTGCCCCATATTTATATGTATGATCTATATTGACAAAATATGCTCATTTGAGTTCATGGAGCAGAACATTGATCATTATAAACAGCTTTTATTGTTTAGCAAAGGGAATATAATTAGTGGAATCCATAAAATGAGAACACAATGTTCTTTTTTTCTATAATTAGGTTGAAGTAAAAGCAAAGTAAGGCAAAAAAAGTTAGAAATCCATGACCTCAATAACTGTATTACCTCTTCATAAAATCATGATGTGTAATTTTGGACACTATACACTGAATTGTCCTCTCACACTACTAAGGGCAGTGGATAACTCATGAATATAAAGTGCATGTTTAATTCCTTTTGACAAAAAAATATATATTAAAGTGGTGCTGAACAGGAAATTATTTGCTAAGTAAAAGCAATACTAATGGTTAAATTTAAAAGATAGCATTGCCTAATAATATGTATAATTCAGCCAATAATGCTTCTATTTTTTTCCATTGATTTAATTAAAAATTTTATATGCTGACCTTAATGGATAGTGCCGATATTGATGTAACCAGCAAAATAATGGTGTCACTTTACACCAAGAAGATGGTATTTAGTGGCATTTAGACAATGGGCCATAAAATAGATGTAATGATTTTCCTCTTTCACTGGAAAAAAAAAAGTCTGTATTGTTTAGTACTGTGTGTAGGTGTGTGTGCTTGTGTGTCTCCAGCGTTGTGTTTGAACGTGTGCAGCAAAATCCATTCTTATCAAATCCAAATACCAGGGTCAGCTCAAAAAGCAGCGACTGAGGGGAGCACCACTTAACATTTAACACAATAATACCTCACCTCCCTGCCAACATGCTGGTGAAACACCGGCTCTCACATAATCTAGTTATAATTGAATGAATTACCACCATCAATAGAAAACATTTTGTTCCACTGAAAACACATCCACATGAACAAAATGCCCCATTGGGGATCATGAGTGGGGATGAGCATTGATGCATGTACTGTTACAACCCACATGCAGTTACGTTTTAACAACTCCCCACACAAGAATAAAATGAAGTAAGACAAAATTTATTTTCTGCACAGATCTTTTTCCTGACCATAAATACTTTTTTTTTTTTTGGGGGGGGGGGGGGGGGGGTGTAATTCAGACACAACATCCTTCTAGGATTGCACAATATACCATATATATTATCATTGCAATATCAGAGAGTGCAATATCAATATCACAAAGGACTTTTTGGACAGCAATAAATTAAAGGACTTCATGATTTAATCAGCATGCATTCACTTTTGCAAGTTTTTCTAGCATGGTGCAGACCTACTTCGACTATTTTCTTAAGCACATGAAGAAATACCACCTTTTTCTACAGATTAAAAATCCCACTATTCAGGTAGCATACATCTAAGGGTAAAATTTTCAGCATATTTGAATAATTTGATATAAATTTTAGGAAAAACAATAGTAAAAGCTCAAGTTAAATAGACACAACAATTAAAGTTACATGCAGTTAGACAGATTTGTTCAAAGTTACTGTGCATGCCTTATGTTTTAAACATATATATGTCAACGCACATCCTCCTTTTTGAAGGATGTTGCATCATAAGACCATACCTCTTTAGATTTAGACATTGTAACAATGATTATCAGTTAAAAGTTAGGATTTGTTTTTTTCTAGTAGGTTCAAAAGAACCTGAAAGCTAATACCAGTAACTGATTTTTGTTCTAGTAAAAATAAATGGAGTATCAGTTTTGGCACAGATGTTTCAACGTTGTGTTTATTAGCTCAAGTTGGGATTGTCACCAAGGAAACCAATTCCTTGAAGGAGGAATGTTTTATTTCCTGTAACACTGTCACATAATTTTAACATGTTACGAAACAGTTTCTTCTTGTATTGTAACACTTTTTTTCCCCCTTTTTTTTTGGATTGCAAACGGTATTTGCAAGATGGAAAAACATTTATCTAAAATATAAAAAATTGTACACAGTCTTTTTCTTCTTCCCCGTTCTGTTGATAGCTTTTTAACTGTATGTAAAATGAGGATCTTGAAAACATCTTACCTCAGCATGACGTTCTTGCCATCACTTCTTGCACAACGAACCTGTCGTGTCTGATATCCCACTTCTAGTTCCCATGACATTGGGTATTTAATGTGCACTTGTGCATGATGGTGGTGGCTGTGATGGTGAGAAGCCACTGTGTGCAATGTGATTGTGTTGTTTTCACTGGAGCTTGCAGTAAAGTCCACTGTGGTCCTCCCATTCAAAAGGGCGTCTTTTTGATGGGGTAGTCGGCACTTACTCCAAGCGCCCACTTTAAGGCTGTACTGGTACTCACCCTCTGCAATGGGGCATTTAGCAGAGTTAGTACACGTCCTGGTCTCAGTTAGGTTAGGACAATTTGCCCCTCCGTACATTGGTGCAGCCAGGACATGTCTAGTCCGATGCTGCAAACCAGCACCGCAGGTTTTGCTGCAACCTGACCAAAAAGTAAAGTCTGAAACCACGCAGTCCTGAGGGCAGGGAATCAGGCACGCTTGCTCCACGGGCGGTTTTTGGGAAAAAAATTCACAAATCCTCGAGCTGACAGTGCTTCGATTTGAAGTGCGGACACAGTGGATATGGCGCTTCTGAATGCCATGCTGTGCTGTAATGCATTCGGTTGTCCTCAGCTTGAGCTCGTTGGAAAAGAAAGGGACAAGAACACAGCCTCCCCAATCTGAAATCTCCCATTCAAAGAGATCTTGGTGCCAGTCACAGACCTTGAAGCATTGCCTCTTGCTTTCTGGCTTGTCCATGTGCTGGCAGTGTGAGTGATGGGTCGCCCAACCCTCTATGTGGATGCACCATATCGTCCTTGTCTGGACCCCTCCAGAACCACACTCCTCCCCAACACACTGACCCCACTGACCTGGAACAAAGAAGACACACAGAGAGGACATTTTCGTTTTATTTATTTTTTTAAACTTAGTGTCAGAGGGGGAAAAAAATTGATTTAAATTGCAGTTATTTGGAAGCTTGCAATCAAGCACAGTCCAAGGCCATTCACTTAACCTCCATGATTGCTTTATTCATGAACTGAGGAAGAGACGTAGAAAGAAACACAAGGTAATCAAACTAGTAGCAGACATCAATACAGAAAACGCAAGGTCAGTTTCTGTTTCACAAGGACTTGATTCATTAGATCAATATTTCACGCTGGTAATGCGAGAGATGTGTTACTCAAGTAACATTGTGACAGATGCTAGAAATATGCTAAAGAAACAAACATATCAGGTGAAGTATGCTGGTGTAATGTTAATTTTAAAAAGTACTTGCAAAAAACTATTGGGGGTTATTCCTAAGCACCTGAGTACTGTAGTGTAATACCTCCCATTGAGGGGTGCCTTCATTTCAGGAGATTTAAGTACAGGAAGTGCATTAGTGGTCCTTTTTGCAGGAAATATTATTTAAAAACAATAATAATATATCATTTGCAAAGCACAATTTAAAACAATGCTCATAAGATTTATACACATAAGACAAGAAAAGTTTTTGGTACTGTTCAAATAATGAGCTGGCAACAAGTTCATGAGCCTGTTTCATTTCAAAGCATTTATATATCTATATATATAAATTACAAAGCACACACAATGGAAATAGAGTTTTTTTTTAAAAGATACTGTATTCCAGAGACTTTTAATCAAACTCTATTGATTTTAATAAAAACATATATAAAAAAAACAGCCTACGCCACTGGGGCACGTTCCTGTGGTCAGAGTCTGTAGTCGCAAATACTTTGAGTGGTCAAGCTATCTGAATGCACATCAGTTAAATCACTCTGACAGAAATAAGCCATATCTTATATTGGGAAAAAAGAATTTCACAAGAAAAAAAGGCTTAAAAAAGTTTTTTCACAATGTACTATATATTTACTGAGTGAAACCAAGACACAAGGAGCAAGACCTGTTGGATATTGATATCTAGCTGAAAATTATTTGAATTTACTTTTATAGCTCAGAAGTTCCAACAGTCTATGTCTGGAAGGTCTTCTTGCAGCATATTCTCTTCACACTACATCTCCATGACCTTCTCTCATAGCCTTCATCTTATCCTTGTCCTTATGTTCTCTTAAATGCACGCAGCATTTCTGATGCTGGTTGTTTTGAAGATGAAAGTAATTTAATCTGATGTTAGATTGAGCTGCATGTCACTGGATCACGGCTGGTTTGTATTAGTGAAACCTTGTAGCAGAAAACAGACTGCAGTATCGACATTGGGATGCATTAAGATTAGCTGCTCATGTGTTGACCTTCTTGCAGTAGCCTGTTGCTGACTTGTTACATCTTTACATTGGGTTGCTTCTTGACACAGGAAAGACCTTCTGCACCAGTCATTATTGCAACAGAGCTGAATAATTGTGTTGGGCTGTACTGAGAATTGAGCTGATGAGCAACCTAAAAGGTTCAAAATTATCTTAAAGCTTTATTATGACTTGGGTTAGCAACTTTATTCTAAGCATTGCCCTTTTATCTGAGTGCTGATGTGGTTCTGGTGAAACACAACTGCACTTGCAAGTCACCACAGATGTATTATTATTATTTATTTATTTATTTATTTAGTTGTGACATAAGTCCATGCACAACATTTACCAAATGCAGCAAATAATGGAAAATAGAATGTGCGTTAAGATGGAACAAAATTGCTGACAACTCTTTGTGAAAAGTTCCATCAGCTTTGAACTAGAGCTCACGTTGTGCGACTTGCATGAGCTGACCACAAAAATGTATCTGTCAGAATGGAAGATACAAAACTTTCTTTTTTATTATTTTCTGCTACACCCACGCCCAAGTCTAGCTGTGTCTGCAAGATATTAAAGAAAGGTCTGTGTGTAAAGAAAGGTTTGTGTGTGTGTGTGTGGGGGGGGGGG